AGGATGCAGCCAACTTTCCCAGGGAAGAGCTACAATTTCTCTCCAAGTAGTGTTGACTACCAGGCCCTTGTGCAGCTTTCTTGGAAGGAGAAGGTAATTGTGGAGCCAGATGAAAGAGAGAGTAGAGGGACAGGGGTATGAACAGGAGGCTGAAGGTCATGAGGCTGTGAGAACCCATCAGGGAAGGGGAGGGGGCTCCTGTAGAAGAAAGAAGAACAGCCTTGAGTTTACTTGGCGGAGTGTGATGCACATTTTGATTTTCCTAAAGCTTTTGCCCTGATACATCAGGCTTGAGGACAGTGACCTGTGTTGGTATAGAAATGAAATGTAACCAAGTTCATGAATTTAATAGATAGATAAGTGGGAGGGGTAGGGGAAAGGAAAGAAGGGAAAAAAATAGAAAAGGAAAAACATGGACACGAAAGTCTTTGTAAATAGGGAAGGGTGGAGGGGTGGGGGGGGCAGAGGTATGGGGAAAAAATAAGAACCAAGATACATCACGTAAAGGCACAATATCCCAATGATGAATGTAACTGTCCTGTATACCTGAAATGGACCACTAAACTTAATGGGAGAAATAAATAAATAACAGTCTTGTTCAAAACCACGTGGTAAATGCCTCAGCCTGACCACAGCCCAGGAGGCAGAAGAATCATGAGTTCAAGGTCAACCTGTGCAACTTGGCCAGATTGTGTCTCAAAACAAAAAAAGGGATAGGGGTTTAGCCAAGAGCTAGATGACTTGCCTAGTGTTCAGGGGCTCTGGGTTCAAACATGAGCACTGAAAAATAAACACAAACTATAGGGTCTGCAGCACCTACCCCAGAGCACCTGTTGACTCTGCTGGGAATCTGCATTTATGATAGTAGCAGAGACGATTCCAGCACAGGTGTGAGAGATCTGAGAACCAGACGCAGCGTCTCCCAGGCACCTACACCAGTGATCTGCTGACATCCTTGTTCTTGATCCACAAGGCTGGAGCAAGGCTGGGACCAAAACCGCATCAGCTTTTTTCCAGCACATTCCAGCAGAGGGGGGAAAAAAAATCCAAGTCTCTCAGAGAAATTTTGTTCTTCCCCTCATTTTTTTTTTCAGGTCTTCCAGCACCCAAACTCCCCTGGAGCCTCAAACAATATGTTCAAGACCAGCAAGGGAAAAAAGAAAAATCACACCACTAATTTGAAAAGTCTCAGTGCTTTGTGCCCATGTCCTCCCAAAACTGGAAGCAGGGAAAATCGTTTAAATATTACTTTTCTTTAATTGTGCGAATATCAGCGTGTGAAAATTGCCATGTGTAGCCTTAGTTGTTACAGTGTTCTAAAAGGAGAGCCTCTCCAGCTGCCATTCAGCAAGATTGTTTCTCTTTTTACACTTCCCCAGTAAGCTCTAGGCACACTATTAGACCTGTACAATATCTAAATACAGTTCAGAACTGATTCTTAAGAGTAGATGTCAATGGAAGTCTTATAATTCTATGAGATTATTACAGCAAAATGTACCGTTAAGCTGCCGTTCTCTGAGTGATAACCCGTGAGATTGGTGTTTTCTCTCTGTATTTACCCAGTTTGTGTTGAGTGAGCAAACATCATGACTGTTGGCCTAATGCCAAGGTTCAGGGAACAATTGTTCCCCTGTTCATGGGCTTACTTACTTATTTCTGGTTGTTCTCTGCAAGAATTGGTCACACAAATCCCTTCAGGGAATATCTAAAATATGCTTGCACTCTGTATTTTGAGGTAACTCCATTAATTCGTTCCTGGTGTTATTGCAAGCATTAGCACACACTTTGCAAAAATCTTGATTATGCAAATGTCTTGTCCTGGGGTGCATGTTTTCATGACAATAGGCTGGTATGGTTTTCCTTAAATTTTCTTTGTCACGCAACTGTTCATAAACAGATTCACAAGCTTTCAAATTACACTTGGTGGAGTGGATTGCTGAGACAGAAACTTCGGATCTCAGCAAGACAAAGATTGAATAACTGCGGGCTGCTTTCCAGAAATACAATGATTGGGTTGAAATCTCTGACAAAGAGACACGAAGAACGGGAACAATGGGGACTTTAAAATTAGGTCTTTGAATTTAAGATGATACTCGAAACACCACCCGCTTCTTACAATCTGGTGCTTTCTTTTCTTTCTTTCTTTTTTTCTTTTCAGAAGCTACAATGTCCCCTGTGCTACATCTCTGATGCAAAACAGGGGACAGCACAGAGAGCCTTTGTCTCACAGCCTGAAGCCCTCCTGTTGATCAGGGTGCTCCAGGGAAGCAGGGGCGGGTTTGAGCAGCTGAATGAAGCCACTTAAAATGTTTTACAGGCCTGGGAGTTCTGCTACTTAATGAGATGAACCCCACAGTGGCGCAGCTGTTCTCAGGGGGTTTCTCTCCCCTTCTGGAAGCCATGCAAACTCTTTCCGGTGGTTTGGGTCCCACATAGTTGTTTAATACCTTTCTTGGGAATTACTTGATCATTTAAAATCAGTGACAAGCCAATGTTTTCCTTAGAAGGTTAGATAATAAGTATTGTAAGCTCTGCAGGCCATAGGATCTCTGACAAGATATTCAGTCTGCCAGTGCTAGCACCAGAGCAATCCAAGTTATATGGAAACAAATTGGAGGGTCCGTGTTCCAATAAAACTTTATTTACAGCCAATAAAATTGAATTTCATGGAATTTTTACAAATCACTAAGTAATATTCTTCATTTGATTTTTTTTTGACCATTAAATAACATGATATCCTTTCTTAGCTCATGTGTCAGATAAAGGCAACCAGCGGGCCAGATGGGTCAGTTTCCTAACCCTTGCTTTACACCAACAATGGAGTGCAAGTAGAAATAGCAACATAGCCATCAGCTTTCCTCATCTGCCTCATCTTTAACAAGCACTCAAGACGTTAATGTCACCAGAGTAATTGTCAGTGGGGACTGTTTGGGAATGAAAGCACATCGTTTTTCTATTCATAAGAAGAATGCTAGTAAAGTCAGTGAACTTGGGTTGGGATCAGAACTGATTTCTCTGTGTGCTTTTCCTACTTCCTCAAAAAGCTCAGTCTGGACAGAAATAAGGAAGTTTTCTCCACGTGGAGTTTGAAGCCCCTCACTCCGTGTGACCACCCCCACCTAATATCCCAATGCACCGATGCTGTAGGGACACAAAGCTGGTGTAGCCGTCACGTCTCCCAATTGTAATTTTTTGGCGTAAAGATCTTCCCAGACCAAAGATTCTGTGATAAATTGGGGACAGTGTGGTTTTTTTCTTCTATATTTAATTGTCTAACAGATTCTCCTTCATTTTCTCCTCATTCCTTTCTCCTTCTTCCCTTTTCTTTTTTACTTTCTGCCTTTTGAAGTAACAATTTGATGATGTTCACAGGTGGTCTACACCCTTGCTACTCAAAATGTAGTCGTACTTGTTACCTTTGCTTTCAATATAATTAAGTTCATTGTAAGTTTATGTAATTTAATTTTATAGTGCCCATGTTCAACAATTAGATCCAAATCTTCCTGGTAATCGGCTCCTGGGCATGATCCAGTGCAAGCTGGCCCTGCACGCCCTAGGAGTGGGGCATTTTCACAGCTTTGGATGATGGCCTAGAAAGTTCCAAAGCATATCCGTGTAACACATTTGGATACCACTTCCTCCATTCTCTGTACATTTGTTTAGCGAGCCTTAAAAGAAAAAAAAAAAGTGATGCACAGTATTTCACTCTTACAGTTCTACAAATACCCATTAAACTTCCCTGAGAAGATTTTATGGCTTTTCGTCGCATTGAATTATGCTAGTTGAGAATTTTCCAATTTCCAGTTGAAACATTTAATGTGACTTATTGCACCTATGAATCAATACTATCAAAGGTGCTCCCCCAACAGAGGAGCTTTGCTCTAACTTTTCATTCACAAATCTTTAGTGCTTGTTGTTCCATGATTATAATACTTTACCTTGAGCTACATCATCTCTTTCTCAATTTTAGTAAAAGGAAAATTGACAAAAATCATTCAAGCACAGTAGGAGGAAGGAAGAATGGAATGCATTTAAATGCTATAAAGCAAAAAAAAAAAAAAAAAAAGCTGATTCCTACATCAGAGTTGACCATTAGCTCCTTGGAAGGATCTAGAACTTTTACATTTCCAAGACTCCTTAGTTGTATTCTTCCGTTTGGATGCACGGAGAAACTGAATCAGGCCCCCTGGTGTACCCCTGCCGCTCCCTCAATAACTAGGTCCTGGTAGTCTCGGGAAAGATAGCTTCGCAGGACAAGTTTGCAACCTGTTAAATGAGGGGTTGCACCGTAGATCTCTAAAATCCCTTTCAGCTACTTCCTTCAAGAGAGCTGAAAAATAAGATGGGAAGGAATCCAGAAAGGGCAAACTTGTTGCTCATTTGAGCAGTCCTGCTAGACTGCCTTTTTTGATGGGTTCCACCCTTTTTTATTGAATTGTCTGGGAGAAGTATGCAAACGGGATGCTCTCTCCTAACCATGTGAACAACTCATAAAATGCACCTTCCATAAAAATGATTCGCGTGGCCCATTTGGCAGCTGCAGGAGCGTTTATGGTCCCCCAAGAGTCTGGTTTTCTTCCCCTCTTTTCTGTTTGTGTGACCATCTTTTCTCAGGTCCCCTGTGACGCTGCAACTGCAGCCGTCTTTCTACACCGTCCCCATGGCGACTGAAAACAACTCGGGTACCCGGGCAAGGCGCCGGGTTGGAGGCGTGTCCCACTGTGCCTCACAGAGAAAAATAAACAACTAGAAAGTCCCCGCACTATGCTTAGACTCCAGTATTGTAAAAACCAACTGCCAGGCAGCGGGCCCTGCCTTTCCCTCGCTCTGGCTAGAGCTGCATCCTCGCCGGGATCTGGATCGCTCGGGTTCTCAAGTTTTCCGCTGCAAAAGTCCCACGGCCGCCGGGATCGTGACGCGGGTTATTAGGGCCGCAGCTCCAGGCGACCGCCCCGAGGCCGGGCGACAGG